CCTATTTGTTTACTGAAAAAGAAGAAGAAGAAAAAAAAAAAGAATTAAAAGTGAAAATAATATTGCAAAAATAATGCAACTTACAGTCATTATTCGCTCAACAAAACCAATCTGATCGATGAAAAAAAAAAAAAAATGCAGAATAAAATAAAACCAAATACAATTTTTTTTTTCCAAAAATCATTTGATTTTATATATTTATAACAATACGAAAAAAAAGCGTCAATAAAAGCAATAAGGGTAATGATAACATCAGCAATAATAGCAAAAAAAAAAAAAAACAAAAATTTTCATTTCTAACTAATAAAAAATTTATTAAACGCAAATTACCCGATAAATTCAAAGCGATTTTTACATAAAGCTCTTCAGTTACGATTTATATTTACTTGGAAAAAAAAGGGTAAAAAAAATTTTTTCCCCCTACACGTCGATTATAAATGACTTTGATAAGATCATAACAGCTTGCTTTCAAGCAGTAAGATTCAGTTGTTTAAATGAAATAACTCAATTCAACACTAATCTTAAAAGTGGTTACTGATGTTCACTTTTATCTTCTTTTTTTTTTTCTGCTAAGCTTTATAAGTTAGAATACCCGGGAACAATACATTTAAAATATTTAATTAACAAAACAACAAAAACAATACATTTGTGGCTTAAAAAGAGAAAAATTATCTTGTATCAGTCTAAACTACCAAACAGTTCTTGAACTGTTACAGTAACTTCTATAACTGCATTAGAAAGTACTATTAATCAACTTGTAAATTGTCCAGCTACAATTACAATAAAATTCTTCTGCCTTTCTTCATCGGATTTCTTGCATCTTCCCATTCACATATCAAACTATTAGTCTTAAGCACCAAGATACAATCCGACAAATAACATACCAATCATATGGCACTAAACAGAAAACAGAATAAAACATCAACTACTTCAGACGGATACAGTGACTGATTATTAGTTAGCAGGGTAGCCTGAGGATGTTAGATTTGAATAAAACCCTGAGGTAACAACTGGTCAAATTAGGCGAAAGTGGCTGCAGCATAACTTCTTGCCGCAATCCAATGCGGTCAGTTAGCTAACTCGGTCAAATGCGCTCACTCATCCCTCATTCATTAACATCTAACCAGTAAGTGTCTAAAGTAACAATTTTTTTTTCTCAGCCCATATACTTTAAATTTTACTTTAAAATAAACACCAGTGAGGAGTAGCACTTATTAATGAAGTGTGGATTATATGTTTCGAATATTTTGATTAAATCGCTT